GGCAGGACCAGGCATATATGTACTCTGAGGAGGTACAGTAGGAAGATGAAAGATGATCCACTAAATCTGTCACCATCTCCACTTTGACAGACTCACACAAGTTAGAAAAGGCCACGGGCAACACATCACTCCCATCTCAGGTTCTTACTATGACTTCAAGCGGCTACAGCATCTGGGGCAAAAACAAATTCTAGGGTTTTCTGGAATTTCTCTCATCTCTTTCTGACTTTTGCCACATGTTACTCTTTCTAGTCCACCAAATGGACAGGTAACATGGGGGTTGGGGACTGAGTTAAAGTCAGGTTCAGCTTTTTGCCCTTCAGTATCACTAAATAACAGAGGCCTATTCTGGGGCTCAATACTCAATACACAAAGATTCATCACACATTTCTCCACGGCCTCAAGCAGAAGAGCTAGCCAGAGACTCTGGGCCTCTATTTGCTCATTTGTAAAATGGGGGCCAGCAATATGGGCTGCACGTTACAGTTAGCCTAAGGAACACTGATGTGCCAACATCTAACACTAGTGTGCGACATATACCAGATCTCCCCGCACTTATTTTTCTTCTTGAATCTTTGCTCAGAACTACTGCCCTCCCTGCCCCCTCCCCCCTTGCTAAGTTTTTGCCTTTCATCCCAACTTTTTCGTGGCTGACACATCTGTAAGATTCATGGACTGTTGAACTGTTCCCTAACTAGTTTTCCAACATTCTCCAGCTGTATGGAAATTGAGGCTCCCCTCCCCCCACTGCATGGTCAGACTGAACACTACTTCCTTAATCTGTGTTTTACTTTGCCTTAGCTCCTTCCCTCTCATGGTCTTTGCGTTATTATGCTTTATATGTCTAGTTCTTATTCTAGAAGTAGCTGACTGATTTATTATGCGAGTTCCCTTAAAAAGGGAGAAAACAGATGTCATACAAAGTCCCTCAAGGACTGGGGCTACTCGGGAGCCAGTATCTCTAACAGTTGAGGCAGGGGAATTCTCCTATCAGAATCCCTGTGGTTCCCAGATGGAAATGGCTCTTTTGTGGCTCCCAAAGCAGCCAATTCCTCATACTGCTGCCAAGGACCTTCCATTTCAGGCAGAAGATAGATATAAGTGGCAGATGACAGCCTTAACTGGAAGGTGACCAGGGCGATGGTGTGATAGTCTGTGGTGAACAAGCTCACGTGTCTGCCTCCTTCCTCTGTGTGTCTCCCAGAACAGGACCTCTTGGTGCCTGCCTCTAACCTACAGGTAGGATTGCTGGACCTCCACAGCCCTTTCTGCTTTCTTCCCCTTAGTGCCAGTGTATTGCTTCGGAAAAGACCACAAGACCAAGATGAGAGTGGTTTCAGTAACTAAATCACCAAGGCCAGGGCAGACAGATAGACACAGATAAAGCTGCTCTTTTGGAGGCTATGCTTAGGGGAACCTGAGCCATCTCCATTGATAAGGAGAACTTGGCTTTCTTCCCTGCTTCTCCCTTTCTTCCCTCCTTTCTTCTTGCTTTCCTTCAGCCGTGCCTTCTTGTGCTTTTGCTTGTTTCCGTGTTTGGGGATGGGCTCAGGACCTTGCACATGCTGGGCAAGTACTCTGTCACTCAGTTGTATCTCAGGTCTGTCTTTCAATGGATTTTTTTTCTGAATACTGCTTCTGAGGGCTTAAGAGCCTAGCCAAAGGACATGGGAGCCTTAGATAGGGCTTTCCAATTCAAATGACAGATTCTGGTCCACAGTAAGTTACAGGCTTGAACCACTGGGAAGGGACATTCCAAGGGCTGGGCTGGGGAAACCTGGAGCTAAGAAGACAATAGCTATGTCCACGAATGAGGGCATCAAACTCAAAGCAGCCTATTACATACTGGCAGTAGATGTGTATGCTCACTGATATTTATGTGAGTTTATCTTGTGTTCAAAATTTATCCTATTGCATACAATTTTTTATTACATCTCTGTTTTACAAATAGCAAAACAAAAGCCTAGGGGACTTGGTGGCATAAACATGGTCAGACAGCTAGTGAGAAGATCATCAGGATCCTCACTGATCCAGGTGAACTCATGTCACATGACTCCTAGGGAATCCTGAGTAGGATGATGGGCAGAGGGACATAGGCAAGTTCAGTATGGAGGGTTTCACAGGGAACTATCAACCTCTGAGAAGAGACAGAGTATGTCGATGACGATAGTCATTGTAGCTACCCTGCATGGCTTTCTAGAAGCAGAAGCACAGAGACAGCTCCATGTGTCTCCTGCTAAAATGATTCCCAGCTTTGTGCTTCTTACTGGGATTTGCTGGCAATTGCCTGAAGGCAAATCAGTCCCATGAAACATAACAAGAGTTCTGACTATTTCAGCGAACAGAGTCTAGGGGCTCCACACTCTTCCTTGGGGAATTGACTGAAATGAATATTTGTTCCCCATATTTACATGTTATGTTCCTCTTCCTTGAAACATGTCTGGACAATGACTAATCTACTATGAAGGCATAGGAAAAATTTCCAATTCCTGCTACCATAGCTAAGGAGGGGAGACTGCAAGAGTGGGAGCCACAGTTTTATGCTCTGTCAGGATAATAAAGCCTTTGATGTTTTAGAGTGTGAGAGGGGATTGTAACATTAGGAGACAACCTGGAATGATCGTGTTCAGCATGCTACCTAGGATAAGTTTTCTTAATAAAACAGCAGCTTGGATAACAAATGTTTGCTAATTTAATAAACCTAAGCTACACACATCACACACGAAAAGGAAAGGATGCCAAAAGGTGGGTTTGAGGAGATCGAGTCATACTGGGCTTTCTAGTTCCCTGGTTTGGATTACTATGACCTTAGGCAAGCCATCCAAACTCTGTAAGTTCCTTCCTCTGTGTAGAGTGGGTGATAAGGCCTTCCTTGTTTTGGTTGTGAGGATTAATTGGAATTGTGTATGTAAAGCACCCAGCAAAGTTCCCGACATGTAACCTGCACTCAATAAGTAGTAATTATTATTATCTCATTAGCCCTAACTCCACCCAAGGCAGTAACCCTTTTTAAAAGACAACAAACTAGAGAGCTATCAGGTCACTTCTTGAATAAATATTTGTTGGCTGGTTTTGTAATTAGTTGACTACATACCCGGGAGACGTACATGCATACACACACTCTCCAGTAAGATTTCTCAAGTCTTCTAGAGGAAGGAACTGTCTTCTCAGACCACACCTCACTGCACTGGCTGACAGTTAATGGTTAAAGCCCTAGCACGGAGCCAGACCTTGTGTGGTTTCTCTCCAGTACCTGCTATGTTTTCTTAGCTATTTTTTTTTAAATGGCACAGACTCTTTTGAAGAACTTCCCAGAACACTGCATAACCATGGAACTTGTAACTCAGGAGCATTGTGAACCTGGTGGAGATCTTTGTGCACTTGGGGCAGAGCACATCTAAGCCAGCACCTCACCAAAAAGGGTTGTAAATTGCTGCTCTCTCCAAGTATCCCTCTTTCCCTCTCCTCCCATAATTTCAGAAGAGACACGGTGGGAGCAGTGACCTTGCTTCCTATTCCCTAGGCTTTGGTTTCACCATTGGAAACTGGACGAATTAAGATCAACAATATTGCAGTACACTTTGACAATTAACTAAAATTTACAGTTCACAGTGCAAATTCTACTTTCCCCGTCTAGTGTGTCCTCAAGCCTCAGTTTCCTTGGGAACAAAATGGAGATGATAACCATACCCACCTTGTAGGACAAAAGTAGACAGGGACAATGCATGCTGATGCTTAGCACAGTGCCTGGTACAGAGTAAACACAGAATTAAAGACGTTTACTGTCATTTTTCTCTTATTGTAGCTATCCTCCTGCCCTATTTCTTTCCATGAGTCACTGTCATCTGCCACTTTTCCATTTAGAGAGTGCTTCAGAATTTACACTCTGGTCTAGACTCTGCAGTCCTGAATGTTATGCCTGAGGTATCAGGCGGGGGCACTTTACCCTAGATAGATTTAGAAAAACAGTCAATATGCCAGACCTCACCTCAGAGGAGTCTTAAAAGGCATTTATGAAGTCTTAGTGAAAACTTAGAACAATTTAAAATATTGACCTAAAAATCGTTGACTAGTAGTAGATTAAAAATCATAATAAAGGGACAGCCAGAAGAAGCAAAAGCTAGTGATTTCTTGATGCTTCACACACACATATATATGGAGAGAGAGAGTTTTAATGTCCTGGATCCTTTGTTAAGGGTCTTCTCCAGCCCCTCTTCCTTTAAAAACTAAACATGCACTGAGGTGTTACTTGTGTAGGCCTTGTGCTAAGCACTGGGAAAAGAAAACAAGTAAGCCAACGGTCCTTCTGCCCTCTAGGGGCTCACATTCTAAAGGGGCAAATTTATACAAAGAATACAAGTCGCCCAACAGAGATAAGACAAGCCATAGCATCAGATCCTATGTTGGATAATAAGAAGTAAAAGATATTTTCCAGAGAAGGTGACACTTATATGGAGCACTTTTCAGCCATTTTTATTAAACAGTTTTGCTGGTTATAAAATTAACACATAGTCATTACAGAACACTGGGAAAGCACAATATCAGAAAACTAAAACACTAACCATTTTCTTACCACTAGAGGCAATGACTGATACATTCCAGAGCATTTCTCTATTAATCTTTCAACCCACAAATTCAACCAATCTATGTATAATAAGAAAGACCTTGTTCAATTAACAGTAAACACAAGCACTTTACATTGAGCTCAGTCCAAAAGAATAACTCTGGATCTTTGCTTTGGTGACCAAGCCCAGGAGGTGAGGAACCAGGCCTAGCCTCAAGAAGAAATTGATGTTGAGTTGGATGTTGCTGAGCAAGTTGCATCCGAGGTGCCCATAGAGCATCCCAACTAGAGATAGAGGCTGGAGACATTGCAAAACTGGATTCAGCACTCAGAAGACAGCTCAGTCCTACAGAGTTCTCAGCAAACAGTCAGTGGTTGATGCCATGGGGATGGAGGATGTCCCACAGGGAGGGTGTGCAGGGTGAGCAGAGAGATGACTAGGGTAAGGCCCCTGCCCTCTAGAAGCTCACAGTCTAGTTGTGTTCAAGTGCAAGTCATTTACCCCCAGCTAGATTGTAAGCTCCTTGAGGGCAGTCACCACTTCAAACACAGCTGTCCCTCGTCAACCAAGGGGGATAGGTTTCTGTAAACCCCTGGGGCAGGAGAAGTCAGGCTTGAGGAATTTAGGACCTTCTTGGGGAAAAAACAGGGTTAGGGGGATGAAGTCACAAATGAACTTCTGAAACCATATTTTACACTGATAGAAAATTGACAATGGCAGCATACTAAAAACATTTAAAATCTGTGAAAATTAAACATGTCAACATATCAACATATATTAACAGCGTACACTTTACAAGTTACTTTAATTGACTATTCATTTCTTCAATAGATTCCTCTTCATATCTTTAACAATATGTATATGGAATCATTCTTTAATTGTTAAGAGAAATACAATTGCATTTTGTTTTACTGTTCTCATCTTTAATTTTGTTTCTTGAGATACTGTCGATTGAACCTAAGACCTCATAAGAATTAGATAAATGTTCCACCCAGCCACATTCTTAGCCCAGTACTAGATATCTATGGCTTTTATGACTCTAGTCTATTGACTTTATTTCTTGGTCCCACATACAAATGCAAATACATGCCCACATCCTAACAGACAAGATCACTGCTGAGGTCTGACAGTCCCCCTGCCATTAACATCTTTCCCTCCCTTCATGGACATGTTCTTCCTCTGCTGTGCAACCCACCTACTTTGGGGCAAGTTTCATCAAGTCCCATTGGAACAGGCAGGCTTCTGCCTAACTTAGATCCTCTGTAGCTTTACAGAGTGTATAAAGGTAGAGTTATCAATATTATAGCTATATGGCATTCTTTTTGGAGACTTAACACATCCTTTACTTGCTTGCTTGGGGTGAATGCTCAAAGAACTCCTGTTGAACTTAGCAATTTATTAGCCCAAGGTAAAAGATGTGGACTGTTTTCCCCCTCTCTCTACTCACTGCTCCAAATGAATATTAAACCTTCACACAGCACAGATACTGAAATATTTGTAGGCACATTTAATTTTCCCATCTGGCAGGTCGTGACAACAAGAAGCAACTAATAGATGCAATCTATCTGCATTCAGGAAGGTAATTTTGAGATACACATGACATTCTGTCAATAGAGTCAAGTGATATGGCTCTTTAGTGAGGAAATTCTCCATCTTTTCCAGCTCATGGACCACCTGGATAAATCCAAAGACCTGCTAACCATTGGTTCACATAGCATATTTATGACACAAAATTGTCACCTGGACTAAGTGGGAAGATGAACATTCCTGGATAAGACATCAGAATGACAATGTCTTTTCAATGAAACATTCAGGCACACTTATGCAGCCCTTTACAGTCTACAAATATTTCTACACACATTTTTATCTCACCTTTTCTTCACAGGACCCCTGTGGAGGTATTCAAGGGAGGTATAGATTGATATCTCCATTTTGCAAATGCAGAAACTGAGGCTTACCCTAAGGAAGCAGTCAGATGAGGATAATTGCCCAACCAGTGCTCTATTTCCTGTTGGCTTACAAGTGGAAAAGGAAAACTGAATTGGGGTGCCATCACACCACCACCATGGAATTGCCAGTGTCCAAGAGGCAGTGCCTGTACTTTCCTTCTCCCTCCGCCACAGCTGTCTTCCCTAGTCCACAGAACACCCTCTAGTGGCCATCTAGACTATCCACAGTCATAGAATAGTACTGTGGGTAGCAGAAGTGACACTTAGTACACACACACACACACACACACACACACACACACACACACACACACACACACACACACACGGATGCAAGCACGGATGCACGCACACGCACACCCCATCTCATTGTCCACCAACCCAGAACTGGGAAGGAGGCTTTGCTGCTTCTGTCTAAAAAATGAGGTAGATTGTAAAAACAAATAAATTTTCTCAGCTCCAAAGCTTAAAGTGGAAGAGTCTGGCTGAAGTCTACCAAACTTTTGGTAAGTAGCTGGCTTAAAATTTTAATTCAGCTTGATTAGTGTCAGCTTTTTGAGTATGCTTTCCTACCCTCTTGGGTAGGAGACCAAACCTTGAGTTTGCCTCTCTGCTTCTAAGGACTAGACCCAGGTCATGATGTTCATAAGCCCCCTGGTGGCATTCCATTTAGTATTCTACCAAACACTCACCATAGGTATACCCTTTTGGAGAAGTACAAAACAGGCCCAGCAAGATACTGATCTTGATCAGGGTCATATGCCTACAGTGACAGAACCAGGATTTGAACTTGGGGGTGCTTGATCAGCAGGAGAGCTAGGATTTGAACTTGATTTTATTTTCTGGACAGAAACAGTCCCAAGAGTAATGATGCCTCTCACTAGCTTACCAGCCAAGTGTGCTCTGTGTTAGTCCCCCAGTTCTGCCCCACCATGGTTCAGGAAAAAGGGTCACCCTAACAGGGATCCTCATGGGCACTAAAGCAGACCACTTGACATTGTAGTTAAACATCTCCCATCAAAACAAAACAAAATAAAACCATTAAAAAACACAACAAAAAAACCCTTCATGAGTGAAAAGTCTTATCTTAAATGAGTTCACTGAGACTCCTTAGTTTCAACTTCAGAAAACCCAAGACTTTCCATACCTAGGGAGTGAGGATGGGTCTACTCCTAGTTCACAAGCTCTGCAACTTGGCACGGAGCTCTAAGCAGAGGATTACATTAACTTTAATCTCAATTTTCAACAGAGGTTCCAGAAATGACACTCAGTACCACAGACACACAGTGTCTCACTGTCTTTCCCAATGAGCTCAAGGAAAAAAAAAAGCCATATGTGCTGAATCAACTCTGGAGTCTGGAGATGACTGGCCTCGGGAGGCATTTGTTAGATGAAAGCAGTCCTCTTGCTGCCCAACATGAGTGTCCAGGAACTCAGCAGAGTGCATGCTCAGCACCAGCATGAGTCAGACATATGTAAGCACCCATTTCCACTGTGAACACATGCACCTGCATTTATACAATGGCTGCGGGTAGGCAGTGGCTTCAAAATTACATCTTTACAGCTTCAGTCTTTTTCTTTGGGGGGTTGAGGGTTGGATCTAGGGCATCGTACATGCTAAGCAAGCACTCTCCAACTGTGTTGTATGTTCAGCTCTCCAAATCTGCCTACTGCTTTTGGAGACAGAATCTAATTACATTGACCAATTTTGGGCTATGGTCCTCCTGCCTCAGACTTCTGAGTAGCTGGGGTTTCAAGCCTGTACCAATAGGCCTGGACTCGCTTTGACATAGTAACTCACTATGCCTTCCAATTTAATAAACATTAAAAATAAAAATTATATATCATAAAGCAGGTCCACATATACATAGCAGTGACCATGCTTTATCAGAGCTGTTTTTAATGATGTTGCTCAGAATGGTTTCCTCCCAGATGATGACTGAGAAGCTAATTTAAAAAAAAAAATGGTGTCAAGTACCACAAGAGTAACAGAACTGTGCTGTTTTCTGGGATTTTGTTTTTTACTTTTTTGTTGTTGTGGTCTGTTTGTTTTTTGTTTTTGTTTTGTTTTTTTTTTTTTAAATGGAGTGTGCTGGATGTCTCTACAATTTTGTTCAAATTACTGCAGAACCTGGAAAAGCTCTTGCTGCTATTGATGCATAACATATTGCCATTATTGCTCTTTTTATATAAATTATATATATATATGCTAATTGAAACTCAAATATGTGATGAATCCAAGGTGTTTCAGAGAGTGCTCACCTGTGCATGCAAATTTGATTTCATCTTTAGTAAGTAGTAAAGTTATATGCTTGCCAAAAAAAAAAATAAGGGACACACTGGAAGACAAATGTCACACAATTTCAATTTTATGTGTAACCTAGAAATGATGAACTTATGGGAACAGAGAGCAGAATTGTGGCTATTAGGCTTCAATGTGGGTCTTTTAACAATGGGGAAACGATTGGTTTAAGAATATAAAACTGCAGTTGGACAAGAGGCATGGACTCTGTGAAGTCTTGAGGTCTACTGAGAGCATGATAAATATGGTTGATAACAATATGCTATATTTTAAAAGTTGTGAGATAGCATACTTTAAGTGTTCTCAAAACAAAAATGATGAATAGGTGTGATATAACATGTTAATTGGTTTAATTTAGCCATGCCATTGTGAACATACTGTATTGTGTATCATAATTGTGCATGACTTTATTTATGAGCTAAATAAATGAATGAAAAAAATAAAAATTATAATGTCTACCCTTTACTAAATAGTGGAGCTACTTATTGGGAGGCTGCTGATAGTCAAGCACTCCAATAGGTACCTCCAATGAATTACTTGATTTAATGTTCACAAAAACCCAAAAGAAACTAATTCTTTGATTTTTTTTCAGGGGGGAAATTGAAGATCAAGATTAAGCACTTGTCCAAGGTCACACATTAGTAATGCCAGAACCAAAAGTCAAATTTGGTCCAACTAGTGGATGTCTGTGCTTTGGTGGGGGGAGGAGAACACAATAATGTTTTCAATTGTCAAAGAAAAATATTAGAAAGCATAACGAACATTTTAAACAGACATGGTTACTTCAGCAGAAATAACCACTATTAACATCCACAAATATATCAAATATACCGGTATGACTGATTGAAATAAAGCTACAGGTGCTTGAGTCTGAGGAATTCCTGCCTCATCTACATAGTAAGGTCCAGGGTAGAGCTACATGGTCAGACCCTGTATTGATAAAAAAGAAAGGGGCGCCAAAGAGATAAATCTAGATTTGATTTCTAGCATCCACATATTACCTAACAACCACTGGTAACTCCAATCCCAGTTGATCCAGTCCCTTCTTATGGATTCCAAAGGCACCACATGCACAGACATAAATATGTGCAAAATAATCATACACATGAAAATTAATTATTCTTTTAATTACAGATTCAATTGGTAGGATGGTTTCTCCCTTTGCATTGCACCTGAACATTTCTCCACATCTTACAACTCCCACATACCTTATGGAACAGCTGCATACTATTCTGTGTCTGAGATGTCATAGCTAACTCTTCACATTGGGCAGGTAAAGGATTT